ATTACAATCTAACAAAACAACTTAGTTTTTAATTCCAGCTTATTGGATTGTATGAAAAATTGTCTATAAAAATAAGTTCTCACTTTGTTGCTAATATTAACTGTTTGAGCCATAGAAACGATTTTCAATCAATTAAATGTTTTCCTAGGATTAGTTATATTGCAGGATTGAAGAAGACTTTTGAAAAACGGAAATTGGTGGCGAAATTTTATCATTCAATTATTGAAAATCGGAAGCAAAAAAGTCACCGTTTTTATCTGCCACATTGTTCCTGTGCGGATTGATTTAATTTGGTGGTTACTGTTATGTCTTAAATTATTCATGAATTATTAAATTGTGAACTCTTTTTCAACAATTTGAATTTGATAAAAATCCTTTTTGTACGTGAGAGCAATTGTGCCAATAAAATTAATGAAACCTTCTACACTGGAATGGGTTTGTTTACAAATTATAACTGTACGTTTATTACATCCCTGACAAACAAAACGTATATAAAACCAATAAACAATTATACTTAAATGAACATAATTAGAAAATAACCCATGTTCAGTCATGTAACAGCTTCAATTCAAAATAACTGTATCATATTAATTTTTATTATCTAAATAGCTATTGTTCTACGTGATCGACACTATCTTCTATGCATTTACGAAGCAACTTTACATTTGCGTATTCAAATATAATTTAAATAACGTTCATTCAGAAAATAGCAAAAAAATTTACTAACTTCAATAAGAACATTATACTTCCGTTCAAGAGGGGAAAAATAAAAGGAGTTTTGACTCTATGGTATATTTGTGTTTTTTTCTTTTTGAACAAATCATTGTATATAGGGGGTCCCAGCATAAGTTATGATGATAAGTATGAAATGTGCTTAAAGCAGAAATTCAAACAAACAAAAAGCTAAGAAAAGAAAGGAAACTTTTACTGACAGGGGATCAAAACCAAGTGAAATACTGGTTTATTTATTATTAATTAAAACTGGTAAGAATAAATTAAATTTGCTTAAAACTGGTGAACATTTTATTTAAATTCAAATAGGATAAACGTTCTCTAGTTAGAATATTTTAGTTTTCTTAAGGCTTGGAATACATGTTGACACAGTTAAATCACCAGTAAGATGACGTATTTGTCGGATACACCACACTATTTTTTCAGTTATAGGAATAATTTTTGAGTTTTAACTTATATGCACACTATTTTACATGACTGAATATGTTTTAATGAACTGGATAAAATACGCCATTAAAACAATTTGCCCCATTTACTTTGCTGCCAGATTCGGAACAAGTGGGCATTTTTAACACTCCCTATCAAAAGGAAATAGATTTTAATTATTTTTAAATAATAATAATTTGAGACCTTAACGTAAAAAGAAGCAATAAAATAAACAATTCGTAAGCAGACGCATACAAAAACGCAAGTTTAATTCTGCTTGTTGGTGTCAACAGGGGTTTTTAATAATATGCATCCCCTAACAGTACAGGTTGTTGCATCGCCTGTTGTTTCGCGTAAACTAAGGGCTGACAAATGCCTCATAAAAATTCTGAACGTGTTAAATTAAGAGAGCGAGGAGAGAGGGGAACCAAATGATGAGCACTGTATAAGTTCTTTCAATAGGTTTGTTTAAATTTTGTCGAACTGCTAGGTCAAAATTGGGTAATAAGTCGTATAACTTTTGTGAAATTAGTCTTAGGTCGCTAGGAAATTAAGTAACAGAAGGCTTTGGATTTAATGTGTGTCGAAATAGTCATTCAACATTAATTCCATAATGACAAACAAAAGTAGGAAACACTCGAGGGTATAATATATGAAATATATAATATTTCTTCGTATATCCGTATATCCGATCCACCTACGTATAAATCTATAACTATCTGTACTTCGTCTATGAGGGCGAAAAAAAATCCTTATTGCTATGGGCCTCGTACTAGGCAAAGTGAACTTTTTAAGTAGCAGCATGTTCTAATGTTGATCTTACTAAGAAAAGTATTTTATTATTCCACTTAGATTAAAGCTTTCGATCAAACGATTTTTAAAGCTACAACGTACAAAAAATATATAGAACCCAGCCATACTATTTTGGTTCCCTATTCAAAGTCGGGAGATTCGTGAAGGACACAACATTTTATTTAGCGGGTTAAAATAATGTTAACTCTTTTATTCTGAGTTGAAATATGTTTTTCAAAAGCCTAAAATATTTACATTGTCACTGCTCGGAATTTTCGGCTATGTGTTGGCGCGATTATTAACAAAAGGCTTTTCACAACTCCGTTCTCAAAAACATATTTTCCACTCTTTTTAATACAACGGGTCTGAATTGCTACTCTACAAACAGATCTAGTCTACACCGTTAACACTGATATTAGAGCGCAAATGTTGCGTGTTAATTCTCATTCGGGTCATGTTGGTATAATTTATGTTCAAACTAACCCCGTCTGAGTGCAATATTGCTACTCAACAATAACCACCTGATTTCAGTTCGTTTACTATATTATATAATAATCAATACATATTGTACTTAGATTAGCTCCATTAGGTGCTTATTGAATGGATAATGAGAGAGATGAGGATTTTGGATGTTTCACCTTCAGTCGGAATATCTGAAAAATTCTAAAAAGTTCCAGCCAACAATATTGAGTATATTAGCATTAGCTCAAATAAGCAATTCGTCGGCTTTTAGAAACCTGATAAGAAAATCACTGGGCACTGGATGAACTATGAGGTTATTCCAGACGCGAAACAATTACATGCACATTAACAAAACACAATTTATGATCACTAATGAATCGTTAAGACAAACCAACTGGGATTATGATGACCTTTTAGGATATTTTGGAAGTTTCAAACAAATATATGTGGATTGATGCCAGTATTTAGTAAATATACCCCCACTCTATTAAACAATTGGAAACATCATTTGATGGTTAAAAAATTAACTATTTAGAGTGAGAAAATTAGAGAAAATTTGTAGGTGCATACTACAGTTAAGCATGTTGCACAGGGTAAGTCTTTCACAAAAGTTTGAATAATTTGTTGAGCATCTCATAATATAATGTGGTAAACTGCAAATTTTAGTCTCGGTTCGATGATTGTTGTAATATGTTGTATTTCAATCGTTCAAACTACGAGAAATTGCTTTAAGAGAATATTCGTTATAATTAATTATTATTTTTATTAATTAATAATTAATTATTTATTATTAAATAAATTTGTAAATTTTAGGAAAGCAAAATTTACAAATAAGTATCTACTTGCCACTTCTATATAAGTCTTTTATTTTTTAAATGTGATCAAACCAGCATTTAAAAATATAAATTATGTTTCCGGTTGTTGCATTTTTACATAAGACTAAAAAACGAAGAATTACAGTAGATTTTACCGGGGTAATTTACAAGACTGTTGATTTATTTGAATTTGATTAAACATATCAAAGTGCTATTTGATATGGAAAAATATTTATTTTGAATCAACATTTATACCTCATTTACATTTGGTACACAGATAACAGGATACACAATGGGATATTAATATTTTCCTCTATAAACAGTCCTGACTTAGCAGTAAAAGATTTCCTAAAGAACGTATTTAAATTGAGTTAATAATAAAAGACCGCTTTTGTGAGTTGCTGTAAGTATCTTCAACACATAGTTTCGCAAATTTATATTTCGGACTTCGTAGATTAGTTGCTTAGTGAGGTTTTAAAGTTAATAGAAATTTATATGGCTACACTATAAATCAGATTCCATTGCACATACAATACCTATATACAATTTCTACGGACAGTTATGGAACTATTAAAAAAATAATAAAGTTGGAACAATAAGTAAGTAATGTAAAATTAATTAAAAACTTAAACAAACCCAGTAAATCAAAGTGAAAGTTAAATATTAAATAGCTAGTACAAGTAACAAGAGGTTATACGGATCTGAGTAGTTATTTAAATTTAAAGGCGATATTTTCATCTCACTTGAAGAATGTAAGCGCATATAAAATGAAACGGATACCTTTAAAATTCTGACAATTATTTTTTACATAAATAGTTACACTTTTTATAATCGTCTTCGCATTCTTTTAAGGGTTTTGTTCTGTTTTGTTACCATGTTTGTTAAATGAGCTTTTCCAAGCTAGAATATAAAAACCTGTTAGAAGTTAGAACAGTATTCGATTATAAATTAAGACAAATTTAATCTAGGTAACACATTTATTAACCTATTTACATTACAAAAACGGAACGACAAACACAACATTTAAGTTTTTGAGAAACGAGAAATGAAAAATGAAGATGAGCAGATCAGAACATTCCACGCGGGCAGAAATGCATATTTCCTTATGAGAGACACTCCGCTGAAAATGTAATGTTCAAAAAACGTGTAATTTCTAGCTGATTGTGATAAATGAACGTAAAAAAATATTAATATATAATATATAATTAACGATATACAGGGAATTCCGCATTTCCAATTTCCGTGTCCTTATGTTTCCGCTTCCACATAAATAAATAGAGGCAATCGGATTAGAATTGATTAGGAATATAAATATAGTGGGTTTAAGGCACGAAAGCTCTTTAGATGGCGCGTCAGATTTAACCATACACGTTTATTTCTATTTGGGTCATTTAAAAAATATGGGTCATTCTACTAAGCTTAGAGTTAAAATCAATCAAAGCAAAGAATTTTTACAAGCTTGACAATGTTGACAAATCTGTTACAGTTTTCCCTAAACGCATTTTCAGTATTTTGTAAACTAGTTATTATTTCGACTTATAATTTTTAAGGTTGCCAGAACAATGCCGAATTCCTGTGGTAGTTTAAAAACATCGATCGTCGCTCAAAACTCTTCGATATTAAAGAGTTTAATTTGATTAACAAATATTTAGCCAAATCGATCTGTGCATATATTAATTCTGATATAAATTTATTTTAATTGTTTGAGGCATATCCATGAAACGCTCCTAGGAATAAAATAATATTCGTACACAAATACTAAGTCAGGTTAGTCTTATTGATAGTATTTTGAAAGGAAAAGTTGTAAATGTAAACCAATGTGCACTAACTATTTAAAATATTGTTAAATTTCACATACTTTTTGAATACTACAAATGTATAAATGGCATTTTGTTAAACACGAAACCGAGCAATATTTCGTCAATTTAACTAATCCATTATAACCTCTTGATACGTAAAGAATTATGACTTACTAATTCTTTCGGACTTAGTACAAAACCCCTCGTATAAAACACTTTCAGTTCAATTGTCGGAAATGAAATGAAATCAATTAACTGCATTAACATCAATTAACTGCAATACATTGTGAATTACAATCCAACATTCTGCGTCGCAGCCTTCTTTTATATAGCTATTTATTTATCCTTTTGTATTTCAACGACTGGCCGATTCTGGACAGACGAGCATTTGAAGATGTCCCAGGAAATTTTAGGCACTGATGTGAGCCCATTTTATCAGCAAGTGCAAAAAGAGTTCGGAAAAACCAAAGCTGAAGTATGCAAATGTGTGGAAATGCTTCTGAAATGGACAGAGGAAGGAGTTCGGCATCGAGAAGCACCTCGTAAGTAATTATTTCTATCGGAATTTTTGACCTATTTATTCACTAACTGACTGCTTAAGCGATTCAATGATGCTTTATTTATTTCAGCCATTAATTATTGCTTGTTTTGTATTGTTGCTTGCAACTTCAGCCTGGAAGAAGTCAAAAAAAGAATTGATATGTATTACTACATCCCCTTGATAATGCCCAAAGTTTATTCTGTCCATCCTCTTTCCGTGGAGCTCTTGCAACACAGCAAAGTTACGTAAGTGTAAAAATATTGTTTCGGAAATAGACTTAAAACTACAACATAACTTATTCGGATTATTTGAAACAATGTACTTATCAATTTACTGCGAGATTTGTTCAATTTTTTTAGTTTGTGTTTTGACTATATTCTTAGCTATAGAAACTTTGATCATATGTAGAAAAAATACATCTGAGCAGGGAATTAAACTTGAAAGTTCGACAAAGAACGACAATTACTTCCTCTAAGAAGAAGCAACAGAAGAAGATTGTTATCACATCGTTTCTGAGAAACTAATTTTCAAAAGATTCTTTGCAAGTGTCACTTTAAGTAAAAAATTAAAATTGCTGGTCAACGGTTGGAGCAAATGATCGACGACGGGGTATCAATTTTTGTAAATGTATTGCAGAAATGAAGAAAGTTGGTGCCGGAAGCCCTTTCATGAGCGTATGGTTGAAAATAATTTTATCGAGGGCAGGTCAAAATATTTAGAGCCATCGTGTTTTTATTTTTTGCCTATCTCTATCGATTTAAATGTAATAAAGCTATCTATCTCATACTACTAGGACACCCTGTATTTCAGTGTTCAGAATAAGTGACCAACATCTCTGCCACTAGGCCTAAACGCTGATTATTTTCATATTTTAACTCGTTTGTTGTGTGATTGCCAGATTTTGAAAGAGATGCAGCATTGAAGACCCCGTGAGCGGTGAAAATAATACAAAAAACGGCTAGTTAAAAGCGAAAATTTATTTTGGGACAGGAAATCAACTTCACAGAGATCGAGTAAAAAAGCCTAATTGATAAAACGAAAATGCACGAAATTTCGTTCAAACTAATGCAGAGTAAATTACAAGAAAAATGAAAAATTTAGGATTGGGTTCAAGAGCGAATTGAAGAAACGTAACAAATTTAAGAAAAAATGTGAGTAAAATGATCATCAATCTTGATTTAACTTTAGCTAATGAGCTATTTCGTTCAAATGCTACATCTAAGCTAATGCTAAGATTATGATACCTCAATGTACCTCATTGCACCATCAATGTTATCTTCAGATGTTTAGATGTTTTCGTCACAAATCGTTGTTCTGCTGAAAATTTCTAATGTTTTGTTTCTCGAATTAAGCGAAAATCAACAACTCCTTAACGAAGAAAGTAAAAAATGGCATTGGATATTGAATAATTAATTCACACATAGGATTGTAATCGTCACCGAATTCACAACGCACCTTGACCAAAATTTCTTGCATTTAATTTTAATCGCGTGGCAATACCATCATATTTTACCAAATTATTAAATTAAACCCAAAACGACTGCACGCTTTTCTTTAGAAATCGGTCAGTTCTTATTTAATGCCAGTATCCTTGTGAGACTTTCAGTCATTCAGATCGTGTTGAATCCGGATGTTAACGGACTTTATAAATGTTGGACTACAAATGAGTCCGATAATAAGAAGAAACAAAACGACTCCAAACCGAAAAATAAAATACCTGGAACTAGTACAAATCCGAAAAATGAAATCAAACCCAAGCACTTCTTAACATTAACTTACAAAGGCGAAGGAATAAGTAGAAAAAAAACAATAAATATATACAAAGCATCATCGCAGAATGCATTTCGATAAACCTTATCTATTAAATATAAAAACTAGTTTAGGGAAAAGTGCAAGGCACAATGTAATATTTTCATTTATAGTAAAATTTGGAAATAGAGAACGTTGTTTGTTGAAGTAATAGGGAGTTTTTAGGCCTCTTAATTACAACAAGTTTTGCGTTATCCGTTATTCTGAGCATGCGCATTAGTAAAGAAATAACCATTTACGTTATTAGAGGATAACGTGTTCCTTTATTTACGTAGGAGTAGCGGTAACGTTAATAAGCATCCCGTTAAAAAGCAGAACGACGGTGTTGACATATTTGACTTACTTCTAATATTATTAATAAAATAAGCGGGTAGTATAGAATAAGAACGGTATTGTAAATTTAATTAATGCTTTTTCATTGATTTGATTTACGCCATTATTGCGTAATTACGGATTGTATGTGAAAATTGTTTGGGTTAATTTTAACTTTGGCAAGACTACTAACAGCGCACAGACAGGTTCTAACTTCTAACCCATAACCTAACTATTTGGTTTTGAATTTTTATTTAATATGTACGGAATATGTTCTTTTTGAAACTTAAAATTGATAAGGCAATCTCTGGGCTCAATATTTTCTAAATTAAAAATAGCTCTTTGGTTTGCAACAACAAATGGGTCAAAGATGTCGTGTAAAATTAAGCTTCTTATTAAATCGTGATCCACATCTCCCTGTTCATTCCGGCGCAGAAAGGCAGCTTCAATATTTTCCTCCATCTTAGCCACTTTTTGTTTAATAACAATACAAACTTAAACTAGCTTTGAAACTTTTCCAAACAAAACGGGATAAGAAAACAATAAAGTGAGGTTTATTTTATTAAGAGTGCAACAAACACGGTATCAAATACTAAAAAACGCCCTTAACGTTATTTGCCTGAACACCTTATTTTTAACACTGCGCATGATCACAATAACGTTCAGTGTTTAAGGCCAATGTAATTTTAAGGGGCCTAAAAACTCTCTAGTGCTAAGAAAAAATCGCATTGACCGGGCATTTGGCGGAAGAAGAACTGACTGAATGGAATTATTTCCACATCCAATCAATTATATTTCTTCTTCATTTTAGATATTGTGTTTTTCTACCTAAATATACCCAGAACTGTGAACGCGTAATTTTCATGCAATTGAACCCCAATTATCAACCAGAAGAGTTCAAACATGAATTTGTTCTGATTCAGTTTGTACACATATTAGAGTTAATATTGCAAGAAGCTGAATGTTACAACTGGCACATTGTTTTTGATTGGATTGGAGCTAGATCGGAACATATTAAAAAGCTGAATCCCAGGGTTATTAAGGATTTTGCACTTTGTTTCGAGGTAAAATTAACAAAAGCAAATTAAACACTTTGGCATTTTTACCAATCAAAGATATAAAGGTTGCTTTATTTTCAGGAAGTGTATGCCAACAGAGTTGCTTCAATATGTGGCATCAATTTTCCTCCCTTTTTAGATACCATGCTCAGAACAATTTTCCTTCCTTTTTTGTCTGAAAAATTGAAAAGTAAGGTAAGCCAGAAAATTTAATCACCATTTTCATTTACTACTATTCTAAAAAACGGATTAATTTACATACAATAACTGTATTCGTGCAGTAAAACGTTATGAGGTGCCTTATGACGAAGTTGGTAGAAAACAGAACAGAATACAGAAATTACTTTGCCTTAAGAGGAATTGAAGAAATTTTAAAAATCGAAAAGCATAATAATTTTCTCTAAAATAAACATAAAGTTCAACTCAAATCGGTTGGGAATAAGAAAGAGATACAAGACAGCATACTATTTGATTATATTAATTATAAAATGAATCATGTTCTTTCAGGTTAAAATATGCAAGAACACAGACATCCTTTTTGAAATGTTCGATAAATCAATTATACCTAAGGATTTCGGTGGTGAAGAACAATCACTAGAGGAATTGCGAAGTATATAATTATAATAATGATAATATTAAAATATAAAATAACTTAGGTCACTTTGTTTTCAGTTCTGATGATAAAAAAATTTGAAGATGCGAAAGCAATATTTGATAAAATTCAAGATATGGCAAATTCCAAGGTTGAAATGCCAGATTGGTTCATGGAATTTTTGGAATCCTGCAGAGATTTCCGAAGTTTTACTATAGATTAACTGAGCCCAATACATCGGCTAAATCATCGATTACATTTGATATACTCAGTTCATTCAATGCATAAGGTTGTCTATGTCATAAATAAGTATTATAGGAACACTATTAGTTTTATAACAGATATTCGAACTATATGAGAAAATTAAGTGTTTTTGTAATGGAATAATAGTAACAAAAATTGGTTTTGTTACTCTCCCGATTCACCTATAGTCACCGTTCTCCCCGACTTAAACCATCCCCTCATAAGAAAGACATAAATAAAGTTATCGCTTCTCATACAAACCAGATAAAACAAAATGCGGGTTAAAATTATGAATTCCCCGCGGATATTAAAATAGTTAGATTAAGAATGCGAAGTGCAACCACACTATTTAAAAACGAGCCGAAAAAGATATGTATAATAAAAAAATTTTCAATAGTTTCAATCAATTCAAATCAATCCGTTTCGGCTAGAAGCAGAAGTTGTCCCAAATGAACACTCTACACGAAGTCACCATAGGACTGTTTTCTGCTGGGCAAATTGAAGAAACTTTCCTTTCTTGCTGTGACTCGTTGAATGAAGGTCCCTTTTGGCAAGAATACATTCAACTTATAAAAAGTTTCATAAAATTGTTTAAGAGCACATTATCCAAAAACTTGAAAGTAACATTTTTTAAGTATTTTGCTGGGACACTTGACTCATGTACTTGTCGAAGCCTAGAGACGTTAGTTTTCAAGTGTATCGTGTTTAATGTAAAACGAGACAATTAACTCATACGCATCTACAATAAGTAACAACTGGTTTAATTTTCAGTCGCAAACGATACCTTAAAATGACGATAATTTATCAGAAGACTGTCTGCATTTCCGTCTACTGCAATATTTTCCAGGGCATTGCTGTTCTCCCACCGGAATTTCATATTTAAAATCAGTAAATAACTTCATGTTTTTATGTATTATATTATCATATGTGGGCCTTGTCACCAGATAGCAGGAAAGCCGATGTGATGTTAATTTTTCTTCCCCGATCACTACTTTCAGCCACGGGCAGGCATGAACAAATTATCATTAAACCGTCACTTTCTGCTAAACTTTCTTAGGCTATATTTGTTATTGTCAATTATGTCCATTTATGTAAATTGAAAATATTTCTTGTCTGAAAAATAGTCTAGAAGCATCTGAATCCTTGCGAGCAAAATATTATTTTCCATTTTTGGTCTATTTAAAAACTGCACTAAAGAAAACTAAAGTCAGAGTATTAAAATATATAGTTAAAACTGAGACGTAAAAATTGCCATGAAGAGCATTTGAACAGTTGCAGCAAATTACCTCAACATTTAAATAACATTAAATAGAGCATTAATTTGAAGTAAATGACAGGCTTTGTAAGTACATAAATATACATACAATATACATAATTTATTTCGACGGAAGAACCACATCTACCAATTTGCCAGTCAGCCTATGACAGTAACTAATGTTATTATCAAGAGAATATTTACTACTAACCAAGGAAAAATAAATTAACTTTTAATGTTGATTATGATCTTAAAGTATGCTGGAAAGTTCGGGGAAGAGAACTAAAGTCGGGATTGTTTAGTTGGTCTTGTTAGGCAAGTTTAGTATAGTCCAGTTTAAAAATTTTGTTTTACTTTGCTAACAATTCCGTTTTCTTTATGTATTGTTTAGTTTTTTCGCTTGTCTATACGATTAGTATCTTTTCAAAACATGTGCTTTCAGTTTCTATTTATGAAACCATAACATTGGAATGTCTGCCTGGTGGTGTCTGTAGTTTTTCTACCGCTTTTGACCTCGTATTGTGATATGCCGTACGCATATTGTGATATGTACCATGTTTTGTTAATTTCATGTTTGTCCTACAAAATATGAGTACGCTGGTCTTGTCAGTATTTCCTATCAAGAAAGAGGAAACGCAAAATTGAGGGACGCCTTCATAGAAAAAAAAATTTTTTGGCAATGTGTAAGTAGTTCAAGTTGTCTGTTTTCTAGCAATTTTTTTAATGGTGCTTTGTACCAACCGCCATCAGAATTTCTTGTCCATCAACAAACTCTGTTTTTTTTAACCCAATAGCTCGTGATTAAAGGAGGTTTAAAGAAAAAAACTCAGCCTCTGAACTAAGAATTTTTCTATTTAAAATAACTTTGCTCCTTGCAATTTGCAGCGTAAAATCGTGTCTAATTCAGACAATCAAAACATTGGCCAAGAAACTCTAAATTGGTTATCTTTGAACGATACCTGAATAAAATGTTGCTCCTATTCAAGCGTATATTAAGAGGAACGCGAAGGTTAAAATATAAGTAAAATGTGTATATTTATATATTCACATATTTACCTGCCGATATAGAGACCGACCCTTTCATAGGGATGCCAATTCTATCATTAATTATACCATCTTCTTATCTTATTCAAAAATTCAACAAAGCGAAGTCTCTAGAAGAATCTAATATAATGTTTAAGTTGTAGATTTGAGTGGTGGATCTAGTGGAATCATCGTTCTCCCATTTTTATCTATACCAAACAAAAAATTTAATCTTGCCCAGACACCTATAATTTTTAATCTCGCTAGTTTCTGTGATTTGGCATCGACGAACTGACCATTGATTATAAAGGTTTAAATTCCTGCGTTGCATTTATATACCAAAATGTTCCGTAAGAAACGTACCAACATAACATAATACTAACCCAGATAACAGTGACCATGAACAATGGAAAAATTACTAAAACTTTGTTTTCAAAAACACAAATAATTCCGGTTTTATGATGTTTATGATATGGTTTTAGTTACTTTGTATTTTTTCGGGCGGTCAATTATGTAATATACTATTAAAATAAATGTTAATTCTAATTGACATCAATGTCTGCTAATTACTATTCCAATTAGCGCGCCATTAGTTAATAATTTAAATTTCCTATTAGCAAATATGCACTAATTTTTGTATGCAGTAAGGACATTGCCTTAAAATTGATTTGAATTGAACAGAACGGATTAAAAAAAAAATTAATATAATTACATAATTGTATTTAATTATAGCACAACATCGCTTTAGCAGATAAGTACATCAAATTAAACTAAATCAGTTGATTTTTTTCGCGTCTAAATAAATTTTGCATTTCATAAAAAAAAAACATTAATTGGCCCACTTTACTCCCTGGACATGATTTCAGATGTTGATTTTTAAATGCAATCTCAGTGAGTAACTTAAATTCAGTCAACGATGACACCACCATCATATCTCGAAACCAATGAAGCTATTTTTTACGAAAAAATATTTAACGAGTTTGGAAAAACTCAGAAGGAAGTGGAGCAATATGTCGATATTCTCAGAAAATGGAGTGAAAAGCAATCACATTGGCCAGAAATGCCTAGTAAGTACCTATTGACGCAAAATATGTATTTTTATATACGTGCATGCTACATGTTACAAGTAAAAGAAATACGCAATGGAAAGTACAAAAAGTTGATAATTTTAAAATTGTATAGAAAAAGTTTTAAATTTACATCTTTTGTATATTACCTGTTGTGTCGTATATTTTAACCTTATGCTAGAAGTATTTTCGCTATACTTGCCAACTGACTAATGAATGAAAGATCTCAAAAAACGATAAGACGTGAATAAATATTATCTAAATAGTAATAAATCCTTCACACATTATCAAATCAAAAATAAAAACAACATTTAAATTTCAAGACATCAACTTTAACCAAGAAATAATCCCAGATCCTCATATCACTAGTCAATATTTTATCAAATTATGCTATGCGTTACAGAAATAATGTAAATTAAGTTAGAATCGTTTGAAATTCCTAAAACCTGTAATTGTTTAAATAGAATCAAAATAGTTTACAGTATATTAAAACCTCCTTGAAAAGTTCCTTATAAATTGAAGGTAAACATTTTCTTGTAGAAATAAGTGATTTTCTTTCGTAATATTTAAATACAATTTTGAAATTTGGCAGGGAAAAGGATGTATGTCCCACCAACCCATGCAATACAAAATATTTATATTTTATAATGCAGGGTGATCATAATAAAGGTTCAATTTAGCATATTTTCAAACTGACAAAATAATAATTTAAAATGGCACACCCCGTATTTTATAAAATTAGTTTATTGAATATTAAAAAACCTTGTAAGGAGCATAGGTCATATTATGTCACTCCATATAACTTTTCCGTGGGAAGGACTGCTTGTATGTGCATAAGAAGTCAATACCAAAGATAATACGAAGAATGGAAATATAGCAAATTTTAAGTTTTCAGTTACCAAAAGTGAGACTAAATAAGCAAAAAAGTTAAGTTTTGTTATTCAAGTTATTCAAGGAACATCTAAAAGAATGCGTATTTGTAATTTGTTTTCTTAAATTTTTATGCATTTGATATGCTTTATAATGTCAAATTAGTTTAGTAATATATTGTTAGTATATTATTATTGTAAGAAAATGATAATAGAGCAGATCCTTTTTGAAAAACTGAATTGTCTCGTAAACTATAACGGATGGCAACTGTCGGAACTATGTAGCAAAAAAAATAATTTGCTTATAAAAACTAAAATAAATAATTTGGATGTTTATTATGATCACTTAGTAAGATGAAATACAAATATTTTGTATAACATACATTAATATAGGGTTAGTGCTCGATCCAAATTTCTTTCTAAAACCAAATTTCAAAATTTTGCGAATAAATATAACTGGGAAATTGCCTATTTATCAGCAACATAAAAATTTTAATTTTCATTGTTCCAACCGAGTAACCCTCAATATAGTCAAATGCTTGCCCATATCGGAATTCAAAATTTTAATTAAATAAAGGGTGTTCCACTACAAAAAAAAATGTTTTTCTGTGCTGCAATTGTTTTGTCCCACCTTCTAGTCAATTATGAGCTTTTATGTATGACAAATGCCATTTGACAACATAAAATAAGAGCGCTTAAGAGTAAACTTGCTTTACACTGTTATTGGGACACCCAGTACAATTTTAGATAAATAAATGTTGAATAAAATTGGTGCACTGTAATGATTGCGACAAAATTAAGGTGCTTAAAGATGTTGGGCGGTTAATAGTTGGAAAGCCATGATTTTAATTATCGTAGAATATTTTTCTAAATGGTTTCTCTAAGTCGCAATAATTCCGTGTTTTACAAGTATATTTTATCACCACAAACGTAAACCAGTCGTCCAATGAAAATATGTTACCAGGTTTTGGTTTTCCGTTCCAATTCACGATCTCAACCTGGTCTTAAAAACGATCTAATATTTTGTAACTGCTTTGGACTGATTTTATGGAAATATGTATAAACTTTTTGACCGACCGTAATAAAAATTTGACAATAGATACTATAAAAGAACAATTATTCCTAATATGCACTAATTTTAATTTAATTCTGTAGTACCTACTGTTTCTTCATGCTGACTGCACACTTAATCTGCTTTGAGTTGACTAATTAATCCCATGAATAATAATTTAGCCCTGATAAATATATCTAGTATTTGGTGTCACTTAGGAAAAATAAGTGATTTTGTACCCAAAAAATTTCGACATTTTAACATGTATTAATATTGGTAATATACAACTCACCTCTAGTATAAAAGGCAGCGATGCTTATATGAGGGTAGGGCTAAACAATAATAATCATGACGTATTCTGTTCAGACATTTTCCAGCATACAGGCACAATCTCATTTCACTACGCCATTCAAATTAAAGCCGCAAAAACTACTAATTATAATTTAAATTCCGTGGATGAACACAAAAACAAATTACGCCAATGGTGCGCGACTAATGACGCCAAATAACGACTAGTACTTCCAAAAAGGCACTTTTCAACACAAAAGTAAAATTTTCCCATTTATTCATTCGTTTTTAGAGTATGTTCCGCCGGTATGATTTCATATTCATCGACCGAATGAAAGGCTAAATTATTTCGAAGATTTTGCTCACCTGAGTTTTCAAGAAGGGATAAATAACATAAATAATGTACCTATTGTTTACCGCTAATAAGTTTTCCGGCCGGCAAAAAATTGAAAATCGATATATTTACTTTAAATAACGTCGTTTGGCGACTATATTTACCGATTCACTTTTTTCTTTTGTTGTTTTTCTCTATTGCACTATGTTGCAACTCGTACATCAATATGTTGATTTTTAATTAATTGTACAGCTTTTTATTGCAAGACGAATTTATGCTTACCCATATCTGAAAATAATTCCTCTAAACATACCGTATATCAAAATATATTCCAGCTTAAATGCCTAATTCGGAATAGATTTTATTTATGCAGGCTGTCCAAATGTCCCGCTAAAAATTATATTTTTTTTAAGAGCGATGCAATTGCCGTTCATCTTTTTGTGATAACATTCATCCGTCATTTATTAATTAATACAAATTAAATTATTTTTTCCACATGCTGTCCAATTGAAACTGTGGCTCTATGGAAAAATTAAGTTCTGAAGAAGCACATAAAATCAACATTTTTTCACATGATGTTTTTGAAGATCTCATCAAGTTATCATTATCATCAAGGTTAAACGGATTAAGGTCAATTATACCACTACATTTCAAGTAAATCACGTGCTTCAGGGGTATTAGAACATTAATGCAAAAAAATGTCAGGAACATTTGAATACACGTGATCTACTAAGTATAATAAGTATTTTAATAGATGAGATTATAGTAATTGAAAAAAATATTATGCGATTTTAATTTATATTTTTTGTAAATTTTTGATATCTAATTGGCCTTATTTGATTCAAATTTGATAAATATAAAATTTACTTTTGGTGTTTCAAAATATGTCCTTTTATAAATCAGTTAATGTTTTAATATTAAAATAGCTTATGGTAGAGATAGAACTTTTGGAGCCAAAAAAATTCAAAAATTAAAAATTTGTGGAAACTGAACAATTATTCAGATTTATCTCATCATTTAGTACGTACTCTTAATGGCGCTTTGTGAAGTTGCATGCACATTATATCAAACGAGCAGATGTATACAATAGATTTTGTGTAATATATGAACACTGATAGTTTAAATTGCTTTTAATTTATTGTTAAATTTGTCGTTCTAAACAAATTGGTAATACTTATTTAGAAGCAACCATTTTCAAGTTTTCATGCAATCACGTTGGTTGGACTATATGCGATGCGATATCTTCCTGAAAGGAAATGGTTTCAATAATCGGCGAATTCTTATTTATGCTTCTCTGGGGAAATTCTACTCAATTCTTTGAAAAATGTAAACTTTTTTATTTTTTATAGTTTAACTGTCCTAATCTAATTTTTTTCTATAACAGTTCTAAAGCAACTTCTGTGCTGTGTGACTTACAGTGCTACTACTGAATCAGTTCTAAATCAATACGAACGAATGTTATTCAAAATTCGATAAATTATTTAAAATTCGTAAGTGCAAGCCAATTTAAATCACAGCAGAATACACCCTGAAAAAATCCAAACAGTATGAGTGAAAAAATATACTAATATTTAATAGAATCACAGAATTGGTTACAGATTTTTAACGATGTGTTACTATTGAGTTCAAATTAAAAAAAAATAACTACTGGTCACAAAAATGTGTATTAATTTGAAAATTACAGGTGGTATGCAGTATTATTAATTAGTTTCTTAGTATCTAAGGAGCAAATAAATTACCGTTCACAACAAACATGTAGAATTGTTTACAATATTTTTAGCATTAAATGGATTATTGTACTGCATATTAGTTAGCAAGTTCAGCATTGAAAACGCCAAGAAGAGAACAGATATGTATTACACAATAAAAGGACTTATGCCTGAAATATTTACTGTCCATCCTTCATCCCCTGAAGTGATAAAGCATAGCGAAATAGCGTGAGTATACTTGATGGTTGAACTGGCTTTTGTGGTATATCATACAACACTTAAGGAAAAAATTATATTGAATTCAATAGGAGTCTTTGTTTCCATTTAGGTACTGTGTACCCATTCCGAAGCCAACGAAGAGCCATGAGCGTATATTCTACGTGCAACTAAATCCGGATTACAATCCAGAAGACTTCAAAATTGAACTGTTTTTCATCCAAATAACTCATATGGTTGAGGTAATCATTCAGGAAGATAAATGTTACAACTTTCACATCATTTTCAATGCTAGTGGGATCAAAATTGGTCATCTAGCCAGAACTCATCCGATGGTTCTCAAGAAAATGTCAATTTGTTTTGAGGTAAGCATTTTAAATTAAGAAAGGACGTAGTCAGAGTGAGTTTAGCCATTATCGCAAATTAGTACTTATAAAACGGAATATGAGCTTTATGAAATATCACATAACGATTTAATAATTGAATCAATAAATGATCCAAATCGAAAGAGTAACGCTAGCCATTAGCGAGAGCTTCTTTAAACCGTCGGAGCGTCTTCCTCCGATTTTTTCAAAGATTCTAAAAAGTTCAAAGTGGTTCTGCTTTGTGATATTGTGAATTAACAAAGTTTAACGCAAGTCGCATACTTTAATATTAACAATATCAATTGAAACGGTTTTATGATTTTTTATTCTTTGTTGGTAGTTTTGGAATATGCAAAAAAATATCTCTTGTTGGCATTATATTTTCTCGTTATCCTTCCTGCTTGTAGTGCTATCAGGTTTCCATTTTTTATTTCGAGCTGTGGTTGTATTCTGGATTTTCAACTTATAAAGAGAGTACGTGAGTGTGACACTTTCGATTAATTTTCCACTTACGTTTCAGGACAAAAACTAATCAGTCAATTTCATATTCTAATGTAGGGTGAATTACATAGTAAATTTCTTTAAAATTTTAGAATTTAATTTAAAACTGCTTTTTTATAATAGATTTCAATAAAATAAACTTGTTTCTTGTATGTTTTCTGCAAGTACGCATATAACCAGCGTCTATAAAATATATCAACGAAATCTCAACTAAATTAAGATATGTAAAATTTCAGATATCTACAATTTTTCCATTCATCAAATCCAATTACCAAAACAAATTTTCAGGATTTTCTACCCGCGGACGAAAAGTTTATCATGTATTGAACCTAAAAATGCAAAGAACAATAGATGATGTTTATATAATCCTTTCCAATATAAACTGAACATATTTGAAAAGGCTTGCATGGAATTGCTGTTTTTTAATTAATGTAATGTTTTTTAGAAGGTGTACGGCTACAGGGTAGCTTCCATATTTGTGGTAAACACATACCCTTACCTTGATACGTTTGTCAATAAATTAGCTATGCATCTTGCAGTCGAAAAAATTAGAAATCGGGTTCGTACCTATTCCTCTCGCCACGCAAATAAAATCGAACTAATATTTTGTTTTAGATGAAAGTGTCCAGGAACAGCGATGTTCTCTTTGAAGCTTTTGATAAATCACTTTTACCTACAGACATAGGTGGAGAAGGACTCTCGCTGAAAGAGCTGAGACGTAACTATCTTCTTGRTCCACACTATTAYGATATAACGGAAAACAATTTTAGTACTGCTATTGAAAGAATTTGAGAGAATGACGCCTCGATTTGATCGTCTTCAAACCATGAGAACAGACGAATCTTTGAGACCGGCAGAATTGCAAAATGATGATACTTTAGGATACTACGGCAACTTTAAAAAACTCGACCTTGACTAATCGAATATAGTATAGTTTGATATGCACATGAGGGAAAATTTAATAATAATATAATAAATAATAAATAATAAGAATAAATAGAGTTTTAAGTTTGTTAATGGTTTAGTAATTGAATAAATTTGCTTTCACATGTTTGTGTTTGTTTGTGTTAACCTCTAATTCAAGTTATGAAGTAGAATGTGAAGTGATAAAATCAGAATAACGTTTTGCACAAAAAATGGAAAATTGCACGAGTATCTAATAGTTTCGAGCCCTATACAACTGCACCGAATGGGAAATTTGACACAAACTAATAAATTAGCTTAAATATTTACACAATTAGCCAGGGATTATGATCAGTTTGCTTTAAACCTGATGAATATCCGCAATATACAGGGTGATCCAAAATTCCATTCCTCTGGAGGTGTTCTCTGGCGGTGTTTTAGGAGTACAGAAAAAGGGTTAAAAAAAGTTGTTAAAAACTGAAAAATTTGCAAAAACAATATCTGAAAGATGGCAACAATGTTTTCCAAGGTTATCTGCCTAACTAACATAACGTAAATACCTGTTGCTTCGTAATTATAAAAAACTGCGGTAACCAGGACATTAATTATGCAAAAAGTGACAACAAAATAAGCAAGGATAAATGGTAAATTCAATAGAATTCGTTAAATGTCGAACGTCCTTTTTCGAAATGTCTATTATTGTCCTCATAACCTCGAATTCATGTTTACACATAAACATACATTTGAGTCTTTTAACTCCGAACAAGTTAGTGCCTGTGTAATCACCTTATTAGCCACTCTTCTCGAGCAGCTTCTCCTATTCGGTTAAATAACTCCTTTAATAACGCGAAATTTGTACCGGTGTTCTATAAGCGATTGCTTTAGTGTCTCCTTGTGTTTTGTTTATCTTACATACGTGGTAGTCGTTCTCTCCAAATGAGCCTCCGTTACCCCTTAAAAAGAATGACGCCAATTTTGAATCATCTTGTATTTCTGATCGTAAAAATCAAGAGCTGAAAATTTTTATAAAACTTTATAGTTTGTATGCACGAGCTTGTAAACTAATAACACAAACGGCCTAAAATTGCACATTGAAATACAAAGCATTGTTTCGGTTTTTCAAAATTAAGATATCAATGATATGAACAACAGATGTAATTATACAAACAAAAATTCAAAATTCTGTTCAAATTTTATTATATTTTATAAAAGGCATAAAATTTCCCGAATTACAACTTTAATTACATCGTTAATTTCGTCGTTTTGATACCAGCATAAGTCTTTTGAGCATTTCAGTTTTATCCAGACATTTCGTTGCAACTTGAAAAATAAAATAACGGTATTAAGCGTTCCTCTGTGCATTCAGTTTTCCGCTAGTTTTATTGAACAGCAAGTCTCCAGACACCTCAAACTTTCGATACATTTTTAGACGCAATGTCGATTATTGCTCCAGATCGAATTCAATTCCAATCCCGAAATAAAGAGTTCGTTAAGAAGTTTAAATTCCGAATGTCGCTCACTGTGTTCACCAGACTACTAAATAGAGTGTCTTAAGTAAGTAGGTGTGTAAATGGTAATTCAATGAATACATTCAATTTATATATTGATTTACAATATATACATTTGTATTTCAAAAAAGGCAAATGTTTTGAATAACTTTGACCATCAATAGCAGATGAGCCAAACCTTTTTTGTTAATAAGAGTTAGGGCAGATCGTCTTCTTTTGATCCAAAGAACATCGCACTACCTTTTTGATCATGTGCTTACGGGACAGCCTGTATATTTGGTCTATTGAATAACAGAATTTAAAAACTACCCACAAATATAACGCTCACAAGTATTCCATTCGCTCAGGAAGAGCTTCCAAGCCAGACACCTGTAAACATACATGCCCTTGTGCTGGAGAAGTCAGAAAGAACTATTTTACCACTGTCGAAAAACCCAAAAAACTTACCAGTTTCAAAGAATTGCCGCAAAAGCCTATGTCTTTTAATCACATGATCTATTAAGCACTCGACAATTTTACCTGCTAGTAAAGTTGAAATTTGTCTTCAAGATGTAATATCTTTACCAACTGTTAGTAGCAGTCAACGTATCGAAGCAAAATGGTCATATGT